AATAGTGGTCTCTTGAGCCATCTATGATTTGAAAAAGAATCAATAGAACGTCCAATAACAGAATATCGAGCAATTTCAGTTGCACTAAAAAAAAAGGTATTGATAGGGAGAAAAGCATAAAGTCGGATAGAGTATGATTTTCGCAATTGTAAATTAGAGGAACAAGGGACAATTCAGCTCATTTGTAAATGATGAAAGACCAATTTTTCAAAACTGAACTTCCTCCTAATTTAACACAAGGTAATGTAGATCAAAGCACATGATATCCGTGAAAAATAACTTTTACTTGTTTAATTCAACAACAAAATTATTACGAGTATAATTGGTCAAACTTTGTAAATAATTTGATTAATTGCATCTATTTAAGGATTCTAGTACCAAGTGGTTGGACACCACTTAAGCGACATATATTTGGAATTTTTATTCTCAACTCAAGTCATTTTCGGTCAACCCAAACAAAATATGTCTACCAATTCTTCATATAGTTCCAGTAATACTATAATGAATCAAATCATAAGGGGGAAAAAGAACAGTCAAGCTAAATGTGAATGTTGAATTTTTCTTTTTCCAACTTGGTTGAACAAGGCCCTCCACAAAAACTTTATCATACACAAATCAAAATTACTGTTTCTATATACGAAAGGGAGTTTTTTCCGAGTTTTTAGAGAGTGGATTAAAATTTCAAAACGTATCAGGTAGGATTATAAATTTTAATTTAGTTATAGCAATTAAATAAGAAATTTGCAATTTTTTTAGAATTAAATAATTTAAATGTCACATAAGTAAATCAGCGAATGAGATTTTAAAGTTTAAATTAATTAAATACAAAATACGGAGTATAAAAAAATTATATTTGATATTAGGAAATTCACAATCTATTTTAAAACAAAAATAGTAAATCATACACTAAATAAATAACAAATTTTATCATATACATACAAAACATATTTGTTTTAAGAAAATACAAACAAATCGTGAATTGCACGGGGTTCATCTAATTATGTTAAAAAGTTCACCACTAGATAAGCCAAAACACTCAAGATTCGGGTTGGGGTGAAAGCAAGTAGAGGGGGACCTTCCACTGGGGCCATTTAGGGTTTTGCCCCTTTAAATTATTGTAATTAATTAGTTAATAAATTTAAATAACCTTATTTTACTTATATAATATTGGAATATAGTCACTAGTTTAAAGAAATACTTTCGGTTAGGATTGATCTAAACCAGCCCAGCCGAGAGGCAAAAGATTCAAATCGCAGCCTCTCTTATATTTTCGGTCAAGATTCGTCACTAAACGCAAGAGAGGCATACATTATATATGCATAGAAGAAAGAGGTCTTCAGCTGCGCGCTGCTAATTCTTTGATCTTGCACGTAGGCAGCATTGCGGAGCAGCTGGTGCCATCTCTCATGTGATTCCTTCTCAAACCCTTTTTTTTTTTTTTTTTATATCTGATTTTATTTTAGCATGCATTAATACCTCCCCCTATTTTTTTTGTAAAATTTTGTTTTCAGTCTAATAAGGAGATTGCATTCATACTTTAGGCAAGATTCCTCAAATCCTAAGCTCATGGTGGTTTTGGTGGGACTGTCTCTACTCTCTGGTGCAGGGGTTGGAATACATTGTGCAAAGTCAAAGGCAAGATTTTGACTTTTGGGTTTCAAAATCGTACGGAATAAGTGGATGGGTCACTCTTCTAGAGACATCCTAGGTTCACCACTTTTCGACATAGATATCATTAGCATGATAACTTGTTCTCATTAAATTAACTTATGTAACATAAAATTGAACAGTTTTTGACTTGTATTAAATAATTATAAAAAGTAAAATTGTGTTATATTAGTGTTGAATATTGATACAAATGTTCATATTAATCATAACTTCTACAATTAATATTGTTATAAGTATATAAATGGTCAAACTTGTGTTTTGGTAAGTTTGTCAATCAAATTGTTGCGATCAATATGAAACAAAAGAAGTAAACATGAAAATAACCTTAGAAAAATTGTCAATATTGCTACTGTATATAGCATATGTAAAGGAACACCTTGCTAGTGAGGAGTGAGTCTATCACGAGCCCTAAAAAAACTTGTAAAAGCATAGTCACTATAATAAACTCCCTTTGATCAATTGAGATTTTCCATAGATGGGTTAACTAACACAAATTGAGCAGTGAGTAATTTTATAGGTTTGAATTGGGTAAAACTGATGTTAGAGAAAATTAATATGAAGTAGAACAATATAGTGTATGTGAAATTAAAATAGCGTTATCTTATGTCATTTTTGGTCATAGAAAATTCAATAGGACATTGAGGCAATTGAGTGGCAAGAAAACATAGAATAAGTTTTGATAAGGAGAAAGCCAAATTGTTAGGGTAGAGAGTGATTTTCAATAAGAGATATGAGGCAATTATGCACTTTTATAAATGAAATGAAACATCGACCTCCTAACTTTTCACAAAATAATATAGATCAAACAGACAAACACATGTTTGTCTTAACAATTTTTTACTTGTATGAATCAACAACAAAATCATTAGTAGTAAATTTGGTTAAACTTGGTAAATTTGATTAATTGCATCTATTTAAGGATTTTAGTACTGTAGCTTTAGTAACAAGTGGTTGGACACCACTTAAGCAGCATATATTTGGAATTATAATTCTCAACTCATGTCATTTTCAGACAATCCAAATAAATTATGTACCAAGTCTTCACATTAATTAACATAATGATAAAAAAAATAATAAAAATAAATAAATAAATAAATAAATAAATAAATAAATAAAAAAAAAACAGAGTCAAGCTAAGTGTGAACACTAAATGTTGAACTTTTCTTTTTCCAACTTGGTTGGCCATCCATAAAATTTATACTTCGTAATACACAAATAAGAATTTCTATATATACTTAACTGGTCATGCTAAGAAGTTCGCCACCAGATAAGCCTAAAAATTCAAGGAATCGGGCTGGGGTGGAGGCGGGAGAGCCAGAGAGGCATACGTTATATATGCATTTAAAATAAAAAAATGAAGCGAGAGTTTTAGGGAGGTTATGAAGGGTGTACATGTTGTACATATATAGAAGAGCGAGTTCTTCTATTGCAGGAGAGATGGCACCAGCTGCGCGCTGCTAGCTCTTTGATCTTGCACGTATGCAACATTGCTGCTGGTGCCATTTCTCATGTGATCGGAGACCTGTGTCTCTTTCTCAGACCTTTCTTTTATGACTAGGTTTGATTATTTCAGCATGCATTAATACATCACCCTAGCTTTCTATTTGTCTTATTTTGATTTTGTTTTCATGATAACTTTTATCATTTCAAATTATAAATATAAATAAAATTTTGCATTAAATGATTAGTCTTTGCTAACATTGTGAGTTTTCTTATGAATTTTGGCTGATTATGTTATGACAGATCTACATTACACTGATTTACAGCATGTTGGAGATCAAATCCCATGTATTTGACAAGTGATTTGATGTTCATGTTTTGTTCTTATTGGACAGTTTCCAGTCTATAAATTGACTGCAACTCCAAGGTTTAAAGCCAAGGCATCAGTGGATTAACTTCACAAATTATTTTGTAATAAAAGCTGCATTCAACACATTATTCTCTGATGCATTTTTTTCAAACACTATACCATAAGAAATACTGTTATCTAGGCTAAGATAACTTGAAATTACACAAGAACATGTTCTAATTAGCCTTTAGCGATCATTGTAAGTGGCACAAGCTAAACAGCAAGACAGAACTATCACATAAATTGAAGTGGCTAACAGCTTGTAAGTTCACAAAATGCATGATTTGTACCTGTGATTCTGCAAAGTGTGAACTTCCTGAATAAGACAGTCACTGGAAACTACTCAATTCTCGAGCAAAAGGGTATGCATCAATGTTCGGGCCTTCTTGTACCCTGTAGGTCTGTACAATACCAAATTTAGCACATGAGTACCCACATAACTTATACAACAAGGAATGGAGTTATAATGAACAGTTTCGCAAATGTTGTATTTGATGGCTTGTATTATCATAAGCCATCAGTTTATCTTCAATAGTCGGTACATAAAATCTAGCAGAGTTCTTATCATAGGAAATTTTTGTATATCTATGATTATATATGTAGTTGTAAGAATGTAAACTAGAATCTCTCGAAAGCCAAAGACTCTGATGGTTATCCTTCCCACCATCCTTTTTTTGTAATCCAATAATCCTTATGCAGCTACTCGCAACATAATATTAAAGACTGCTAATGATTCTCTGAGAACAAAGGGACACCATAGCATTTCACAGCCAATATATGTCCTACAATTTTCATACAGCAAATTCCTAGATACTTGTACTAGGGAGAGTGCCATATCGCTCACCAGTCACCACCCAATGTGCAGCCCCCAGAGAGAAATGATTCAGTAAAGATCATGCTGAACGATACAGTACATTTTTAAATAATAAAACAGCAAAGTTCAATTTAATGGTGTATATTCCCCAAATCATTCATAAACAAAGCTACCTTATTATGGAACAGAGAAGACAAATCTAGCCAAAAAAAATGTGGAAAATGGACAAGTTAATAGCATAAACAATTTCCTAACTGAAGGGTTCCACATGACAAAACACCATAAATACAGCATTCTTAATGTCTGACAAACACATTTCTATCACATTTCCAGCGTACTGTGAGAATGTGAGTGACAATATCACATTCAACGGTTGAGCCTCCCGTTGCGAGAAACAAAAAACAAACCACATCTGTAGCTTAAACTTTTATACAGGGGTTTTCATTTTGTTTTAGCTTTTACATTGATTAAAATTTTGAAAGAAAGTTATTCTCTTTGTCTCATAATGTTCTTAAAAGACAGATAAAAAAAATTTTTGGTAATATATTTCCTCCTTCTGTTATTGTTATTATCTTCAATTCCTCGTTGTATACGCTATGAGATAGCAAACCAAGAGGAGCTGTTATTAGATACCGTAGTATAAAGTAATCCCTCAGATTCACAGAATGGTTGACATTCAGAAAAAGTGAAGTAGAATCCAGAGCTATAGATACAAACATTATATATTAGAGTCGATTACAAAGAAAATTACAGCATAACTTTGGATCTGAGACTCATCAAAGGTTCATACCCAGGATGCATAGTCCAGTCACAATAAACAAGTGGAGTGGTAAAATGCAAATCCATAGATACAAACATTGAAGCAATTCTAGATCTTTTTCCTATTCATCCTCTTTAGGCGAGGATTCCTTTTCACAAAAGCTTCTAAGTGTGAGCACGTAACAAACTACCCGCGCCATTCTAATTCTACACAGCTACTTTGCAAGTTCAGTATATAATGTGAAAAAATGGGCAGCACCCTCATATTACAAGCGAAATTATGTATACACCATGTTGAAGCGTGACTAGTATGATACCTCTGATTTCCAGTAGAAACATAGCGATGATTTTCGATCCTCCATCATCTTCTCAGTATGTGAAATTTACTGACTGCTTCAGTGCTTCCTTCTGAAATTAATGATACAATTGATACAACAATTGGTCCCGTCAGATGGAGCTCATCACTTGCACTGATTTTGCCTGAATTTGTCAGCTGACATCAGTGAACTAATTAGTGTTTCTACCCTTTTGGCACCTGATGTTGGTCTGAGGAACGTTGTATTTCCTGCCAATAAACATGGGTCAGACCCATTTTCTGCGTTCCCAATGCACCAACCACCAGGGACAATCATCCCTGGACCTCGAGAGAGCAGCTCAGAGTCAACCTTGTCAAGCACAGGATCATTACGATGGAACTTTCTAGCAAAAGGAGCATTACTTTGGACCATTCTTGACATGTCCTCAGCAGTGAGATAGTGAGGATGTTGTTTGGGCGGATTGTCCCAAGATATGAAATGTAGATCAGTATTAACAGTTGTGTTTCGAAACTCCTGTGCGTTACAGATGACAGTATGGAAATAGCCTTCTGGAGAGGAAATGAAATTTGCATAGTACATGAGAACAGTTCGAGGTAGATTGTCCCATCCCCAAATGCAGTAGTCAACAAAAGGGCGAGAAAGAGCCATCCAAGCAGAACCTACATGCAATTACACCCACTGTCATAATGGAGATCTACACTCCTTACAAAAATTAATAAGAGAGGTGGAAAAAGATTTGCGGTAACATATTGTAGTTTTGAATAAGAACAATTGTCCTTAGACATGATCAAATAAAACTCTAAAAACACAGGAGAACTGACATAACCATAATATCTTTTTTGTCCCCAACCCCTTGGAGTTATTTTTTTTAAGGTAATGAAGGAGAAGGGTGGACAGGCTGGACACCACATAGTCTAAAATCTAAATTAAGGCGTAAATGGGTAATGCAAATTACATGTAGGATATGTATTACCCATCAAAATAGAAGAACAATTACCAATTATACAAAGAAGAAAGCACCAAAACCAATGAAGTACTTCGGCAGTTCTGTGGCTCCCAGGAAATACAAATTTCAGAGTAATACACACATAATCACACTAAAATGTCCTTTTAACAATATGCAGGGCATTTCACTGCATAATGTGAAGCTGAAGCATATTAATACAATGTCCTTTTAACAATACGCAGGGCATTTCCCTGCATAATGTGAACCTGTCAAGCCAATACTACAATGTTCTTTTAACAATACACAAGGCATTTCACTGCATAATGTGAAGCATATTACTGCTTTAATGCCGACCCATCTATTAAAAGAGGATAGCACCACTGCTCACAGCCAACTCACAAAGTGAAAACTTGATAAGCATCATACTCAGTTCCAAACTAAGTACATTTTCACAGTCATAATAAGCTAATACTTCTAAACTCACTTCCAGATGCTCAAAGTTTCACAAGTGTTATGAAGCAGCATCAGTAAAATAGTACTACACCATATTATGTTTGATTACAATATTTGCCAGCATTAATTCACAGTCAAGAGTAAAATCAAGATATTGTAGATCAAAACACACTTGCAAAATATGCTGAAATTATGATAAATAAAACTCAGAGTATAAGCCTACAGCAATGCACGCTTTACTGCCCTATTGCAACAATCCATGCATACTGATACACAAGAAAACCGCTAGTATCATGTATGACTTCACAAACAATACAAATAAGAAGTTGAGTTTTTTTAATATTCCCTCTGGTCCTTTTTGTTCATCCCACTTTGGCTTTATGTCTCACAAAAAGATTCAAATGGGAATAAGACAAAGGATCAGAGGGAATACTAATAGCAGATAACAGCTCTTTAGAGGTTATAATTAGAAATTATAACTTATGAGTACTACTTTATAACATTTGTAACCCAACGTTCAAATAACAGCTGAACAGCCAATAAAGTCACTTACACATGATTTTAACCCCTATGTTCTTTTCTCAGCATATGTACACATTCTAACAGACAAGACCAACAGTTTCCAAAGTATCTTCCTTTTTCAATAACACATCTCCTGGAACCTCACTCCCTCCCTCTTCTGCACACCAAACGTTTACTTTCATTTTGGTTGGTTCTGATTTTCTTTTTCCAAAGTTCTCCTAATCAAAGTCAACAATGTAAGAATGAGCCAATCCAAACCCAAAACTCCAAAAGCATCTTCCTATGTTTTGTATACCTTAACAATGCTGCTGTCCTGTGTCATCCGTTACAATTCTTACAAATTGCCAATTCTTTTCCCTTTGAGAATAAGTCACTTATATAAGTAACAACTGACAGTCAATCAACAAGAGCCTTACTTACTCTTGACAAAGGACAGAAAAGCTGTATGACTAAAAAAAAGGTTGGAAGTTACACTTTACAGGTTGCAATTACAAATATGGGATGAAATTGGTTTCATGTTTCGCATTGATTCAAAAGAAGTCCACAGAAAACATATGCATTTTTAACTACTCCATATAAGAAGCATCCAGGACATGAAAACATAGACCTCTAGAAGACACAGGATGATTGTTCAAGAGTAAAGACTCACCAAAAAGACTAATCAACGACTTTCAGCAGAATTAGTTAGGGTCAGGAATTTATAACTTGTCGGATATTGATAGACATTACAAAATAGAGATGAAATCAGCCTACATTAAGCAGTACAAACCTGTGAAGAGTTTGAAAGCTGTTGGCACACTTCTCCGTTGAGTCACCCAAAAAACATCAGCTTTTTTCGTCTGATAGAACCCTGGATCTATAATGATTGGTTTTGCTCTTTGAAACCTAGATAATTTAAGCAATAACTTAATACTCCAATTCCTGTACAAACACATGAATGCACAACAAAAGATCCCTTTTTTTTTTGGTTACTTACTCTTTCCAGCCAATGTTGCTTGTATGATCAATGAAATTCAGGTCACGAGGCAAATGCGAAAATGTGTGCAACAGATCTGGTCACAGCAAACCAAACAAAACAATTAATATAAGTGCCTGCTGAACATAATTCTCAGCTAACCATCAACAGCCCCTAATTTATCAGTAAACCAATACATAAAACCAGTAAAACCAAATTAAAAACCCACCATTTTAAGCAATCAAGCACAGATAATTATCCCATTAACAACAGTCCATCAAAACAATACCCAAATTCAACCAAACTCTAACTTAACCATAAATTAACGAAATTTACCATATTTATCAATCAACAACATCTAAAAAAAAACTAATATTATAGTCAAATACAGCAACATTTGTTATAAATTATGCTCAAAAACTACCAACGAAGAACCCGAACTTACCATCCTGAGTAACCAGAGGATAATCAGAGGCACTAAGATTAATAAACCAATCCCAATGACCACCTTCCCTCAACAAAATAGCAGCAGCATGAAGGGTATTCGCCACCATAGTCGGACCGCGATAAGTAACCAAATTGGCCTTAGTAATCATCCTAACATTGTTGAATTGCTTAAAAATTGGATGATCCTTAACAAAATTCCTCAAATCAAGCCTCTCATCAGATGAAGCCTCCAAATCCAAGTGAACAACATACTGATTATGAGGGTGATAGAGTGCAAGAAGAGTCCTCTGTAAGGACTTCCCATCACCGGCAGAACCCGAAACGAGGTAAGCGAACCGCGGTGTATGGGTTGACAATGGCGAAATAGAAACAGGGTGAAGCTTGGATTCGACAAAAACAGATGAAGAAGGTGAGTACGAATACCTGTAAAATGACAAAGAGAAAAGAGGGGAAGTAGGAGATGTTGTTAGGGTTGTTAGAAAGAGGAGAAAAAGGGTAATAATTGAACCGATTGCAAGTGGAAAGATCCATCTTCTTCGACCCTCCATTGTTGTAATAATGGAGGTTTGGTGATGTGGGTGTCTGAGATTTAAGTAGTAGTTTCTTAACTTCTTCATTTCTCCGACCCCCACCATTAACAAACAATGATGGGTTTCAAGAAATTTGAGCTAAAACTGATAAATTATGATCTGGGTAAATTTGCAGAGATCTTTGAAGAAGATAAAAATGGTGATTTTTGGGATCGTTGAAAATGAGGATGAAAATTGAAGAAATTGGGGAAGAAAGTCACACCGAGTCTGGCTTGGTGATGCTACAATTTACGAAGAAATTGTTGTTTTTTTTTTTTAATTTAGTTTTTGTTTGTTTGTTTGATTTGAAATTGGGTAATTTGATTTTGTTTGTTGGAATGTGGAAAAATAAAGATGGAAGTAAAAATTTCTACTTTGGTCATTGAAGTTTCCTTTTTTTACAGGTTTTGTTTGGGTCATCCATTCAGATCGTGACTTCAACAGTTCAACGAGCCTCACATTATAGATTTTACATTTTTGGTTATCTTAAAAAATAATAATAATAATAATAATAAAATAAAATAAAATAATTTTGTTGAGAAATTTTGCGTAGAAAGGACTCAGGTGAGATCGGGCTCAGCAACAAAAAGGCGCGGGTCTAAAAATCTAATCAAAGCCCACGCACCAACATTTTATAAAATTGATAATATTGGCTTATTCCTGATAAATGTTATCTTATTTTTTACTAAAATAGTATTACTAGACTTAAATTATCTTATTCCTGTCTAAAATTTTCTAATTTCACAAATTTTAAACCAATTAATATTAATTTAATACCTAACAATACTAATCTAATACCTAACAATATTAATCTAATACTCCCTCAGTTTTTAAATACTTGCTCCATTTCTATTTTTAACATTATTCATTCATCTTACTTTAACTAATGTTTGTGATTTATATAAGAAAAAATATAGTCTTGTGGGTACTTGTTGGAATCATCAATGAATAGATTATTAAATTTCAATTGTTAAAATATATACTTATTGATAATTAAAGATATTATTGATCAAAGATTAACATCGACATTCATGAGTATTTGACAATAAACATTTAATACCAAACCATAACAATCAAATACCAAACAATAAACATCTAATACCTGGCATCATTTTCTCCTTCACCACTGACCCTCTTCTTCTCCCATGACTGCAATATTTTCTCTCTCCTCAACCCTCAGATTTCACATTATCTCTAACAAACTCTTACATTTCATCATCAATTAACAATTCCACAATCGAATTTCACAAAATCAAATTAATCAATTTCACCCAAAACCGCTGCGACAAAGCTGCCTCACCAAAATCCTCCTTATCTCGACCATTATTAATATAATTCAACCTCCTCGAACTGGTCATTGTCCAGATTATCTCGAAACTCCGAATTCAAAGCACTAATCGTCAACGCAAGTTGCATCCGATCATTCTTCATCGCCGGCAAGTTGGGAGGTGCGGGAGAGGAGGCGGAGAGAAAAGGGAAGAAGGAGAATGAAGATGGTGGACTTACGAGAGTTCGTCTCACCTAACACTTTACCTTTTTTGTTCTATCCCTCCGTATTTTTTACAAGTTCGAAAAATAATTTGTAATGTGTTGTATTCACTTAATACTCTTCAGCTTTATACCCCATTCTCACCTCAGATGCTTTAGGATCGCCCCTTGGAAGGAGGGGGTCCTAATTTTTCCCTTTTTTCTTACCTTACCAAGAGGTCAATGGGGTAATTGGAGTATTATAAAATTGCAAAAGAAAAATAGTGGGGTTAATTTATCAAAAAGTAATGAATGTGAGAGGAAATAATTAATAAAAAGGTAGTAGTGGGTTTGGGTGGAGACCATGAGAAAAGAGATAAATACATATTTAAAAGATTTTTGCAAAAAAAAAATAAAATAAAATAAAAAAATAAAATAATAATAATAATAAAAATGCAACACTTATTAAAACGCGGCCGGATTTGGCAAGTGTAACACTTATTAAAACACGGATAGAGTATCTAACAGGAGAATTCTAAGTATCTCACATTACTAATCTAATATATGACATTAATCTATTAACTATTACTAAAACAAAACGTGTTGATGTAATCAATTCCTTAAAGTGTCCTACGTGTCAAACTCTCATTAAAAATTTTCCCTCGAAATTTACTTATGATGTCATCAATTTATTTATTTATTTAATTTTTTTTACCCTTTCCTTTTACTTGCTAGATTTTAGGATTACATAGGTTTAAAACTAAAAATATGGAATTTGATTTTGGCATCAATATTGTTGTATACTCATCACTACTTTGTTTAACCATCATTTTAGAAAATTTTATATAATATTGTAGTAAATATTATAATGCAACAATAAATAATAAACATTAAAAAAAAAGGATTATGTACATGTTTTAATTAATATTTATATACCAATTTTATTTACTAGTATTTATTTTTTTTATTTTTTAAAAAGCAAGCCAAGTTATTTTAAAATAATATCAACAACAAAATATATAAAAGAAATATGAAAAAATTACTTATCACCACCGTGCAACGTACGGGTACTATACTAGTAATCTAATAATCTAATTTCAGATATTAGATTATTAATATCAAATATTAGATTATTAGTGTAGATACATTGGACTTTTTTTTTTTTTGAGGAAAGATACATTGAACTTATGTGAGTGTGACTCACCTAATTTTTTTTTTCTACCAATTTTGTTATTTTAAAAATACCTATATATTTTCCTCAAAAAAAAAATACCTATTTATTCTTTAAAGTTAAATTTAAATTATGTGATTTTATGTGATAGTAAAAAATAAAGATAAATAAATAGGTAATAAAAGTCAAATTTTCCTTATTTATTTCCATTTTTCCTCCACTATATTCATCTAATCTTTTATTTACTCTCATTCAATTCTTCCTAAAATACATGACTATTAACCTTAACCTCTACTAATAAATCATAACTAAATACGATCATGGGAGTAATCCACTAAGAAAATCAAATGGAAAACGAAATCAAGAACAAATAAAGTCAAGTTTAATGTAATTGTAACGGCAAACGAAGATTAAAATAGGAAAACATCACTTCAATTGAAACCCATGAAAAGTAGTCGTACTTGTTATTCCTCTACTTATGCATCCAAAAAGTCTAGTTCAATGCCTAACTTACATTCAAAGTCACGGATATTGACAGACATCTCAAAACTTATCTCTTTTAATTTTCCAACTTTGCGTGCATTATGAAAAAATTAAACACTAAAAAAAAAGTTCTTCATTAAAAACCCATATTATATTTGGATTTTAAACATTTGACTAAGGATTATGGAGTACTTTACATGTGAGAAGAAGCATCCTTCTCATTCAATCCAAATTCCAAACACACTACCACTATATTTTACTACTTCCTCTGTTCTTTTTTACTCGACCTGTTTCTTTTATCACGCTTGCCAATGCAAAATTTTAACGATTAATACCTTAAATTCTCCATAAGTTAAAATTATATATTATGATAGTACTTATTGAGATAAATCCAAAAAGATCATACATGAATATATTTTTTCCTTACATATTATTCACAAAAAACGGTCAAAGGAGGGGTGGTGAATAGTGTAAAAGTCAAACCGGATCAAGTAATAAACAACGGAGGAAGTATATGATTATAAGGGTGAATTTATTCACCTAATTTTTACTTATCTGAACTTTGATTAACATCGAGCTGTACACAGTTAATTCCCCATATAAACATAATTTGTTTATCTAGGGATATAATCGTCTTTTCAATTACCAAAGAGGGGGTACATGTGTCTTTTCATGTACTAGTTGAGGGGTACATGTGTAATTTCCCCACCAAACAGTAAAAGAAAGTTGCAAACATTACTTGAACAGCTCACCAAAAGTACTGAATAAATGACCACGCTTTTTCAATATATTTAAAAAAATGTCATCATATTAACAGAAATTCGTTTATCTGGTAGATAAACTTGTGTTTGCCCTTAACCATCGCAACTTATATGAAGTTATTTTTCCTGAACTTATCTAAACTGAAATTATCTAAACTTATTTTTCCTGAAATAAATGAAAGTAAGGTAAAGAGAACAAGACCTAAATTACTCGAATTATTGAGTTGAATTCTAGATAGAAGCAAATTGGAAAAATTCTTGTCTAAAAATTTTAAGGTATTTGTTTGAAAAATGACTACCATAATTTTTATTATTTTAGTTAATAGGTCAATCATAAATTGAATATAATCTACTCCGTATAAGATTATGTAATTACATTCTTTAACACTTCTGTGTAAGTGAAATTAAACTTTGTTCTCTTCAGCTTATTTTTAGTTCAGTTCAATTCCTAATTTCCTTCTCTCATAAAATATTCAGTTTAGCTCCAAACAGTTCATTTTAGCTCAGTAAATCAGAACAGGCCCTATGTAAACTCAAGCCACGTAAATCTTGCATCATCCAATCGCCTTGTTTTTAATGAAGGATAACATATTATTTGTAGAGATAATATATTCTACTGTATTATTTTTCTGTTTCCTTTGTTCATCTCATTTCAAATCTTTATTTTGACGGAATATAATTTGAACAAACAAATTTTTGATGAATTTAAGTTTTGTAGATTTACAATGAGTTGGGTTTTATTATAATTTTTTTCAAAATGAGTAGTTGAAAATATTGGTGTTTGATTATATAAAGAGACTGAGAGTAACAATTAAGTTATTTTTGGTATTTTTTTACAGATAACTTAATTGTTACTCTCAGTCTCTTTATATAATCAAACAAGTGAAACTAAGTGAAAAGTACCTAAAAGAACGACCCCTTTTTGGTATTTTTTTTACAGATATTAAGAAAACTAAGTGAAAAGTACAAGTATATGGGGATTGGGGAAGCTAATAAAATTACATTGAAAAGATAAATTTACATTGAATTTACAAAAAGTAGAGAAAGTAATAAAAGTACGTAAAAAAGCAAAATTTACTTTAGGAAACAAATTTTACACAAATTGGATTAACATTTTAATTTTAAACTAAAATTTGACCAAAAGGGTAGTTCTTTTAAGGACGGAGGGAGTCTTACCACCTGAGACGTTTTTAAATTTGTCTTAATGTATATTCTTAACATAATTACATAAACATATCATAAATTGACTTTTGTTAAAGATAATTAGAGATAATTGGGGTCATAATTTTGCATTGGAGGTGAATTGAACCGGGCTTGAGTAATACGCAAATGTAAATAAATAGTACTCCATAATTTTTTATAATTTTTTTTTTTGGTGTTTAGAGAGCCACAAAGGCGGGGGTAGTACTCCGTAATCCAAACTCAGATGTCAATTGCTACTTTGCTTGTAAAACTCTTGAGAATAACTGTTGACTTGAATGAACAATACAAGAGGGGGGTGAATTGTATTGTTGAGGAACTAGGGTAATTTTTGCGTAATTTATAAAGGAACTTGAATAAAAACTAAAAGTGCAAAGAAAGA